ATTAACTTTCCGTGTCAAACACCGCTTATCTATTATATTTAACAGGATTAAAGTATACGGGAATATGTAAGATTTAAATTTACATATTCAAATAAAACGAATGTGTTATTTAAACTTAGTTACAAATTGTTTTAACTACGGCCCGACATTTCGGGCGGCTTTACATCAACAGCGCATATATCGCGTTTTAAACCGTTGACAGGGTATTGTTAAATGTGTACTGCTTGCGTAAACTACATACAGTATGTATGACATGTGCCTCGCGGAAAAAGATAAAAACGCTATACATAGTTCTCTATTATATAAACTTAAATATATCTTATTTAAAGCAAGTTGCTGAGCATGAAACGACGACGATTAATTCGGTCGGTGAGGGCACAAAAGTCAGATCAACTACTTGCCATTAAATCGATCTGTGAAACGCACATCAAAATATTATATTTACTCCTAGCACGCAGGAAAATGCTATATCACATTTTGCATACAATATATACTGATAGAATAAAAAATAAAAGGGTCGCACAAATGTCGTTGTAATGTATTACACTTTAGGCAGCAGATAAGTAAATTTATTATATTATATTTACGGTTTCGATTCCCACCGGGCCCAGCATGTATATAATTAATTTATAATTTTTCTTAAGCACGTTGAACTTCGTTCGAAATTCCAACCGGGTCACGAACCAGCGTCCACAGATGAAGCTTGAAGTGTAATCGCGTTTTGATTTCAGTTTGTGGCTTTCCGAATATCCTTTTTAAAAAATCTAATGAAATAAAACGCACTGACATCGACAGATTGCGTTAGATTACCAGAAATACTTGAAACCTTATATACTTCCCGAAGAATCATCACCGAATGATTCCTCTGAGGAATAAATCAGCGACAGTTGCATCAATCCCAGAATTGAACGAAATGTTTCAATAAGATCATTTGGCTTCATGCCAAATAGTTCGAGGTCACAAAAAGTCTGTTCACCCTCATCCCTATCGATTCAAAACTTTCTTTCTGGTTCAGTGATTAATTATGACTTATTATTCTGTTTGTAATTGCAATTCTCAGAATATAGTTATCAAATGTCTAAGTTTACTTTTAGGCTTATCAACAAGTTGAACTTTTCGTTCCTAATATCTGTTACAAATATTTTTTCTTAAATTTATATCACAATTTCCCCTGCAAACTAGACTAGATGTGTTATATATAAAAATATATTCTTTTCTATTCTAGAAAATATTAATATTAAAGCCAGGAATCAAAGAAATGGATAATTTTTCCAACTATGATATTTTTAATCTGTTTGTTCAGGAAACGTTAGAGTTATCGACGTAGTCGTTAGATGACGTTAATAACGTCCGATATACAATAATTATTTATATTTATGTATTGTTTTTTGCTTTATATATGTAAAGAGCAAGTAAATATTTGTCATCTGACACATGACTGATTGACTTTTGTGTCGATTAGAGCATTATCGCAGCTGTAGGCTATAAAACATGGCGCCGAGACTAATAGAAAATAAGAAACAGCGGAAAATGTGGAAAATATGGGGAAAATTATGAACCTATATGGGTTTAGGTCGCGTGCGCGGCTAAAGCGACTCGAGATTCCCAAAAAATATGTGTAAGAGAATTATTGTTATTTAAATAATCTACAAAAATGCGACTATCTCTAATAATTCACATATATATTATGAAAACATATTAAGTCGAAATAGTTCATACCGCAAAATAACCTTTACCAGCTTAGCTAGTATATCATAAACTAAACAAGTTGTGTAGATTTTTTGCCCTTGATGGGAAGTGAATATAGGTAACATCCACACAAGATACACGATCTATTTTTGCTTCGGAGATTCGAAAATCCACAACCTGAAACCGAAACGCGATTAAAGTTCAGGGCTTTTTAATTTGTGAACGGCGGTTCCGTGACCCGGGCTGAATTTCGATATTTACATGTTTCAGAAAAATTTTAAATAAAAAAGTTAGAAACATTTGGTCCCGGTAGGGATCGAACCCAGGACCCGTTTATGTTTATTATGTGAAAAGCCCCTTATCATAAGCTCTTGACAAGGGCTTTTTGTGCCAAAGAGCGAATCAGCTTCGATTTACATAAGCTTTTAAGGAGAGTTCATAGCCCCAATGATTGAAAGCTTATCTTTAATATTGGCAGTCTACTTTGTTTCAGTTTTAAAGCCAACACTCAGTTTATATAGGGTCACATCTGTGTTTAATGAAATTACGGTTGAGAAATGTTAAATTCTATTAAAATAATGTAAATTCCGTCCCAACGAAAACATAAATTTAAGAAAGGAAAGCCAAGTTCAATACAAAAATTATGCTTGGCTTCACCGTAAAAAGAATGGAGATAAAATAAAACACTTTAACGGATTAAAACGCGATTTATATTTTTACTTATTTAATTTAATTTATTTGTCGCAAAGCATCGGGCCATAGTTTTAACTAATTTTACAGCGTTTTAAACCGTTAAAGTTTTTTACTTAAATGTGTACTACTCACATAAACTTCAGACACTATTTAAGAATGGAGACGAGTATAACAAAATAATATTATGAGCAAGTAATAAACTATTTATTTTGCTTTATTGTACAAGAATTGCTGTTGTTTAAAAATGAGAAATTGTAAAGTGACTTACATTTGATTTTTACTTTGCTTGTTTCATTAAATCAGTCATTTTATAAATTTATTCAATTGTGATAATAATGGTTGTTTCATGTGTTTAGGTTAAATAGACGTAAAATAACAGAGGTGTCAAAAGTGGCACCAAATGGTTCGTGTAAGGTATCAAATCAAAACCAAATGGTTCGTGTAAGGTACTCTTAGCGCTGCCAGTTCCTTTGCTTGAATGTTCTAACCAAATGCCACAACGGCTTTGCTTTCCACTGGCACTAGCATATTTGTAAGATGAAAACGCCGAGTATATTTAGTGTATAAGCGTGTAGTATTTTCAAATGATGGAAGCCCACATAGACCATTTGTATCAAAAAGGGGTCCATGATGCAATTCGTTGCAAACTCCAAGGTCAGCAAGGCAATTTTTTTTTCTTTTTTCAATTGTTAATTAAAAACACCAACTAAATATTGATGTTAATGTAACGTTGTGTTTGTTTGTCCACACATCACTTAAACCACTCTATAAAATTGGATGAGCGTTGGCGTTACTTGAAAATAAACACTTTAGTCACTCTTTACACGATACACGTTTTAGTGTATTGCTTGAGATGTACGCCACTATTTTATAGAAAAACTTCTAGTTTGATTTAATTAGAGTTAATTGTAAGTTATATACTTATATATCACAGTTATATATTGTGACTAAGCAAACGTTATTTTGCCATATTAATATGTTAAGAATCTGTTATATTAACGGCTGTATACAATAAGGCATGGAGCGCTGTGAACTATGAGGACATATAAAAATAACAAAACACCGAAGAATAATTAATACGAGCAGGGGGGGAAAGTGAAAAATGATTACATTTAACTAGAAAACGATTATAAATTTTAAAAAGTAACCGATTGTTAGACCTACTATATACTATAACATTTCATAAGAATCAGTAGATCTCTTTCGAAAGAGCATGATAACTAACATTATGCATGGGAGTTTTATACCTTACATACAAAATGTTGTTTTATAAAAACAAGCGACAAAAGAAATAATATTAAAATTTCGCGTTTTCTATAGTAAAATTGAAGCCACAAGGGTACGTTATGCCAGCATGAATTGTAGAGGTTTAGTAAATTACAAATGATTAGACATGGATATTGGACGTGAACAAAATGTATCTTCTAATCCGGCTTGCATCTTGTATTCGTTGGGATATGAAGGGTCTAGGATCGAATGCGCTGGTTTCCTATTGGTTGATGAAAAATGCGATAAATTTTATTTCTTTCAGAAATCATCGTTAGCGTGGTACTAAAATTAATAGGAATATCTATATACACATCTTTTTAAATAAATATTTTTTTTTCATGAATTTATTTCATAACATAATGATTTTTCGCGTAATAAAAAAGATAGTTCGATACAAAATTTTTATTTTATACTCACATAAAATATAGCATGCATTTTGATAAAAACAAATCGGATCGGTTATAAAAATACTCACTCGCCATAAACCATGTACAAATACAGTCGACATTAGTGCGGAAAATCGCAAGAAATTACACGACACAAATTAAACGTGGGAACCGTCCATTACATTATATTTCGTGTCATGTTTTCACCACAAACAAATGCTAAAGAAATCCTCGACAGAACACGATATTTTTACTAAGCAAATTACATGTAGCTAAATTCAATTGTGTAAGACAAAACGCGTAGCGGTGCTACGGCATAAAGGCTACAAGCGACTGACGTAGAGCTTAGGCGTTCGCTGTGAATTGGAGGGAAAGCTGCGCAACGGCGACCCAACGTTAGCGCAAACATTGTTGAAATATTTGATTAAGCGGTTAGTTAACGTGCAGTCACTTTTTTGCTAATATGAATATACAAATGAATAACAGCTTACAAACAAAAACTATCGATAACCAATGCTCGTGTTTCTTTTACTGGAACATTTAAAGACTGCGAACTTAATACTATCCGTAGTTGGCGCGAGTAGTGTAAAAAAATCACTTTAACGGTTTTAAACGCGATATTGGTTAAACTACAGAGCCTTTAATCTCAATTAAAAATAATTTAAAAAATATATCCTTGTACGATGCTCGTGTTTTTATACTTGAAAAGTAAAGGAACATGTACTTGTCTTAAATTATACTTGAAGTATTTTTGGAGTATTTTAGCCAGAGATAGTATGGAGAGTGAATATTTTAGCACGCTGAAGGCGCGTGTAGAATTAGTGTATTCGTTGATTCGTTTATTTATTTAACAACTATTAAAAAACATTCCATATTATATAAAAGAGAGACCCCATCATTCAAACAATCCTAGTTACTTAGGTGTTTGTGTTACATTTGACGTTTTTTCGTCTTGAGACTTACAGGCCATAGTATTGAGCAATGTATTTTCCCACAATCTGAGCCGGTCTTTGTTGCCACTTACTCAAAGTCCCCTGATCAGGAGTCACCTGAAATTGTAATAATGTTAATTATTATTTGCATCCATCAAATACTAACTGTGTCGGCCACCTTCTCTTCTATACTAATGTATAAAGCTGAAGAGTTTGTTTGTTTGAACGCGCTAATCTCATCAACTAGGGATTCGAATTGAAAATTTATTTTTGTGATGTGGATCACCCTGTGACTAATACAAGCGAAGTTACAACAAGAAATGGAAAAATTATTCATTACTTCGTACACAAGGAATAATTATTTTGGATATCAATTTTTGTCTTTGCAAACCCCCTGTTCAACTCTAGAAATTTAGGCTGTTACCCACCACGTCGTCCGCGTCCCGTCGTTCTTGCATGTTAATTTAAAAAAATAGATAGATACTATCCCAGATTATCTAGATCATTTAAAGAGGAATCATTGTTTCATACATATTTTTGGGTATATTGAACCGTTTTCGCAGTGTGCGCAATTGAATTATGTTTTTAAATTTAATTTAGAAACTTATTCTTAGTTTATTCAAACTACAGATCTACATTTCAGATGCTTTACGGGAGCGTGCAGTTACGGGGGACTGAAATTTTTTTTTTTTATTTAATTCGTTTTATTTAAATAAAGGGCTACCTTTAAATTATTTAATTAAACAGACACAAAGCTTGCACACATACGCGCTGTTCTAATCTATACTAATGTATACAGCTGAAGAGTTTTGTTTGTTTGTTCGTTTGAACGCGGTAATCTCAGGAAGTAAAAGGTCGAATTTAACAATTCTTTTTGAGTTAGTTAGACCATTTATCGAGAAAGGCTATAAAACATCGTGCTGTGACCAACGGAAGCGAAGATACAGTAGGTAGTGTGAACAAAACGGGGGAAATTTTTCATCTCTGTGGGTTTCTGATGCAAACGCTGCTAAAACGGTTCTAAACACCCAAAAAATCTATAAATAAGAGTAATTCCCCTTAAAATGCACTGAAAAAAATGTCCGCGACACTATATGCGTACCTTTTAAGATTAACTTGCAGGAACGACGGGCACCTTAAATTTATAAAGATGTAGAGGTTTGCAAAAACAAATTTGGATTTCCAAAACAATTATTCAGCTAGTTTCCTTATATTAAAGCTTTGTTAAGGCCAGATAATAATGAGGTTTACTTAGTGATAGATGAAATGCCCAGGCGCATTTAAATATATGTATGAAAGGAGCCCTATTCACATACAATGCCAAAATAAATTTGCTTTTTTATATATCTTTATCATTAGAAAAAAACTGGCACAAACTTGGTCCCCGAGTAATCTATCCAGGAATGTGACACAAAGGTCAGCGGCTCGCACCCCTGCCTCCCTGGTGTATGATGCGAACGCTGTGGCTTCCATCTCCAAGTTCCTTACTCCGAGGCTCACCAGTTTCTGGAGAAATTCGAACTTATCTGCCTCTGTGTAATCACAGAACGCACCGTCCGTACGACCTTCGCCTTAGAAAGAAAAACAAAAGACCATCAAAAGAGTTCTGTACCATTCGCGATGAACAATAGATATACAAATGCACTAATGTAAAATAGTTTTTGTTAATGAATTTTAATTTACTATTCAATACTTATCATAAATCAAATTAAAATCACGCAAATTGAACGCCGGCGAACGACCGGTCGTACTGGAAGTCTATGGGGGAGGCCTATGTCCAGCAGTGGACACTGAACGGCTGAATCGAAAATTGAACGCAGATGGGTGAAATAGAGATGTTTGATTTTACTTAATGGGAAGTGAAATATCCCAGTCGTATAACACCTATACAAAATGCGCTGTTGACCTATTTAATATCCAGATTTCCAGACGAATTCCAACATGTTTTAGAAAAATTTGGAAGACGTTGGGGTTCGAACCCACGGCACGTTGATTATTAGCCATACATTGCTATCATTAGACCAATGAGTTCGTCAAATTTAGTTTTTAGTATATGTTATAATATAGACAACATACAGAACAACAGAACCTTAAGATAACAATAACAAAAGGGTTCCTTTGGTTACGGACCCTCAAAAAGTTTACCTCTATAAAAGTCATTAGCGGCCACCGTCCCCGCGACACAAGTGTTGAAGTCTTCGTTAATAGAGATCGAGTAAAGTTCTTGATTTAGTCTCTTATCGAAAATTGATGGAAACTTTTGCATCTTTCCCAGAATCGGCTAAAAATAAAAATAATATAGATCTATCTAATTGAACTAAAAATTTAAAGAAGAGTAACAGGTGTTATGGAACAAAAAAATAAATAAACAGAGTGCCGTCGCCCAAATAATTTCATGGTAAAATGAGGAAATTAATAGTAATTGAAAAATATAATCTCAAAAATCTTAGGTTTTCAACACTTACCAGATCCTATATAGATTGAATTGTAAAAATTTACGACACCGGCAGGACTTGTGTCCGTAGGACACGTAGCAAATTATTCAATTTATAAATTCAAAAACTTGCTACTAACTACTATTACTTACTAATTACTTATATTTTTGATGTACACACAGTGCCATCGTGTGAAATAACATGTGAAAAATATTAGTTATCAAACTTACAAGGTCGTAAGTTTTCTCAAGAGTCCCGCTCATTCCCCAGGACGATATCACGACAGAACCAGCTGGAATGCCCATACCACCACTGGTCCCCAAACGGAAGAATACAGGATCCTTAGCCTTCGCGTACGAAAGCAGCTTTAAGACTTCTTCTAGTACCACAGACAAGGATGGAATGCCTATTCCGTGCTAAAAAGAAGAATATACAATTAAATTGGGAGCAAACAACAAATTTGTGCTAAGCTTTTTCTATGACAGACCTTCGAGGGAAGGTAAAATACTCCAGCCATATAACATTTTAACAAGATGCCCATTCCATATTTTTGTCTTCAGATATTTAATTTGGCTGAAACCAAAACGCGATTTGTAGGCCGTCGTCTTCGATGCGCCCATAACCTATTTAAAATCCAGATTTCTAGATTTAACATGCTGGAAAAATACTCTAATTGATGTTAAAAACAGGACCTCGTCAAAAACATCGTTTTTAGAGCTTAACTTTAAATACCAGGTTTGGAGATTTTCAATCGCGTACGACAGGTACGTTTAGCAGTCTCTCCCACCTGTCACTAACATAGTGGTTGTCGTCGTAGCCTGACAGCACTGGAGTAGCACGGTGGGTCTATATGATGGTCCTTTGAGGCCAATGCCCAACAGTGAGAGATTATGCACTTACATTAACACATAAGACTGGTCCAACTTTATACATGACGTAGCGATGTGCGTCCTTCACCAGGTTCTTCAAATCACAGGGAACCTTCAATAGTTCACTCATGTATGCAGCCACAGCTTTCATTCTGTACTTTGTTCCGCCCATGCACACGAACTAAAAACATACAAAATGTACATGACGCATAGAGAAATAAAAATAAATACTGAATACTGTCTGTAGTTTACGCGAGTGGTACATTCAATTAACACTTTTAACGGTTTAAAACGTGAAATGTAATAGTGAAAGGTTACAAATTATTTTCACGACATTCAGGTGCGTTGCAGCAGCCATGGTCGCGGGTCAGTGTCCCCGTTCTTTTTTATATTTTCCCAGCTTCTTATCACCATACTTTTTATAGCTGGGTTGGGAGATTAATAGTAAAGAGTAAAATGTTTATTGTCTCTTATTGTCCCGTTATTTTACGATTATTTGAGACAACCCGATACCAACACTACTTGAAATTATTCACAATCTTTTTTAAAATTATTTATTTATTTATTTACACTTTATTGCACAAAAAAAATTAACAAAAATATAAACTTATATACTTAACATAAGGAGTGCAATGGGCGGCTTTATCGCTAACGAGCGATCTCTTCCAGGCAACCCAAGATGAAAGAGGAAAAAGTTTACGGGAAAACGAGATGTGCAAGGTGGGCGAAACAAAATTTACAATGTTAAATATAATCTTAAACATATCAAAATAAAACTTACATACAATTTCAAATTATTTAACGGTATCCCTTAAATAAATTTTCGCTGGTTTAAAAACGCTGATATAATATTTATAAATAACAAAATATAGAGCATTGTTTAAATCACCAGAGTAACGCCCTATGTTTTCTCTCTATTCCTTATTTCATGCTAAAAAAAGAATTTCTTAAATACTGTCTGTAGTTTAGGCGAGTAAACACATTTAAATAACATATAAAAACACTTTTATGGCTTAAAACGCAATATATATAGGTTAAACTTATTTGACAATTATTTTAACATTTAACTGTCACGGTCACGGGGAGACAGGTCTCTCAGAAACAGATGGCGCTAGCGTCGCAGTTTTTACTTTAATATCAGAGATACTCTTCATTTTTAACCTCCCCTTGATCACGGCTGTTGCAAAGCATCCGAAAGGTTGGTCCGTATTTAAACTGATTTTCAAATGAGTTTAACTCATATTAAGCGCGTTTTCTCACATCACTCCTACTCTAACTCCCACTCCCACTCCTATTCCCAAAAAGCTAAAGAAGAAAGTTTCATTGTTCTAGCTGCAAAAATCACGAATTTGAATACAAGCTTTCACCTCCCCTTTTAACCCCTTACAACCCCCTTTTCGCAATAAATGCCTATGTCCTTTCTCAGGGTCTAGACCATCTGTGTACCAAATTTCATTCAAATCTGTTCAGTAGTTTTAGCGTGAAAGAATAACAGACAGACAGAGTTCTTTACCATTTATATAATCGACGATATCGATTATAAAAAAACGCCATCTAAGCATATTCTTAATTATATTGGGCTCACCTTAACATCGCCGAACATAGCTTCGAGGTCATCCTTGCCCGTGACAAAACCCAAGTGATACAGAATATCACAGTCGAGTTTATTCAGATGTTCATTTGGAAGGCGTATTGTGCCGTCGTCGTTTCTGAAAAGTAATATATAGATTTGAAATCGATTATAAATTGAAAATTTACGACTCGGGCAGGACCAACATCCACAGCGTTCCGTGCCCTTACCAAATGAGCAACCGTGCCCTACGCGTCATCGTCGAATTCCTCTCTATCCTTTACACCTCTCGCGTGTTATTTCATCCTGAACACTCGCAAATTAAGGTTCAATGTCTTATGCCTTGCACCTTAAGGATTTTAACGTAAGAGCAAAGCAGATGAAGATGAAATTACAAAGTAAGTTCTGTACAATGTAGTGTTGTCTACTAGGCTCGCTTTTATGACAACGAATCGTATATTTTAATTTATTCATTATCGATTTCTATTGGGCCGAAGGAAGATTGCTTTCAATAAATGGTGTTGAAATACTTCACTGACTACAGTCAACAGGAAGACTTAGTAAATTGAGTAAGGCTTTCACGGCCATCGATCAGCATATTATTGTCTTTCGGGCTGTTCGGCCGATGTGAGCGAGAAGAGGTTCTCGACGTTTCGCCATCACGTGTGGACGGCATCTTCAGGAGATGTTGACTTCGAGCAATCGAGGAGTCAACATCTCCTGAAGATGCCGTCCACACGTGATGGCGAAACGTCGAGAACCTCTTCTCGCTCACATCGGCCGAACAGCCCGAAAGACAATAATATGAGGAAGACTTAGCTTTAAACGATTGTCGATATCTCATTTAAAAGCCAGACGAAGTCTATAATTCAAACGAATTGGTAATTAATTCTATTATACAGGTTCGCCTTAGTGAAAATAGACCCTACGACCTATTGCCTATCCATACATTGATACCGTTTGACCAACGAATTTAATTCACAAATGGTTACTGGTATAAGGCAATATTATAATCGTCTACATTTATATAATTTATACCCTTATTGTTAGAATTGTATATAGTCTATGGTAGCATTTGTTAGAATTAGTGTAATGGAACGCAACCGTTTAATAGTTCGTTATTCTGCCATTCGTGGCGCTGCTCTCTCTCTTTCGATTCAAGCGTTGTACTTAATTGATCTCATTACTAATCGTTGATTCATTTAAATTAATATTTAAAAACTGCAAGTCAAACAACAGGACGCTCGTTAGCACTATTGGGTGAAATGTAATCATGTCAAATGAAATTACCATCCTATATTACATGAACCATAGACCATACAATCGAATGCCAAATAAGCGTTCAATTACAGGCATTCTATCCCCACTGTTTGTTTATCTTATCGGTAACTACGGTGTCCTTGTTACGCACTTTGCAACATCAGTAGGACTCGGAGTCTGACTAGAATAAAGTATAAATATGTATAGAGGTCATTGAGAATTATTTCTATCTTATTTTTTATTGTTTATGGACATAAACTATTTATATATTTATTGATCAAACCCATTTGGGTTTCCCCGTTCATGCGAAAGTAAATACAGAAAATAAAATAATATAAGATAATACATATAAAAGTAACGCATAAAAAAGTGTATCTCAAAAATTAGACAATATGTTTGACGTAATGCTAAATGCATACAATATCTACGGTTGTATGTTTGTAATGTTTAGTGTTATGGCGTCCACAGCCTTCATTGCATATTTTTATCTGACATGTTCGATTCTGTAGGTAATCTTTTCACCATTTGAGTAGTTTACATTTTATTCCATAGTTACTGAAGTTTCTAGAATACCGTCCAAGTATTTCAAAGGTGTTATTCTAATCAATAAACAATACTAACATACACTTATATAATCTGTAAAGGACGAGAGTAGCTGTGTGGTGCTTGTATTTTGGTAGTAACCCATATTTGTCCTTACGTAAAATATAATGTAAATGTGTACTTGCGAACAAAATAATTTCTCTGTTATGCATTTACGCTTAGTTTAATTAACAGTGACTTTATTCGAAATGTACTATAGTTATTGGGCGCTACGTGTCAGATTTTATAGTAGTTAGGTTTATGGATTTATAGGACTTGTCATCTTTAAGCAGATTGCCAATTAACTTGTTCCAATAGTGCGCGCGTTTTTATTATCAATGTATTTTTGTGTAGTAGGCTTTTGGTACTGACTACTGCCGTGTACGGCGGATGGACAATATATTTTTAAATTATAAAAATAATAATGTTCATTCATACTTACTTGGGAAACGGTTTGTCTTTGTTCCAATTAAGTCTGCAGTTGTCATAATGAAGATCCCAGCCTTTCTTCGTCGGCAAAATGTAATCACAACTACATGCCATTGTTATTTCTGTAAAACAAAGTTTCAGAAGTATTATTATAGTCCAAAAAGTGTAATATACACAAACAATGCTGAATGCAAAGTTTTAAATATATACTACCAGATCACTTATTTAGATATTTAAAAAAATAATTTTAGAGTCAAATCGGCTTCAGTATCGAATCGAGTCGGTCACAAACCTTTTTCCGGTCACTTTACACGTAGGAAAACTTAGATTCTCAAGGATTCTAATAAAAATGGTTATTGTAGGACGGTCAATAAATTTTCAAACGTAATCAACAAAGTTAAAGTTGGTGTTACAACGGCGATATTACCACTCTCGAGCAGGTAGAGACAGGCACTGCCGTCACGTCGTTCATTGCACAGCTAGCAGTAATTCGACTCGAGCACAGAATGTAATTGAAATATGTCATAGAATACAAAAAATTGAGTTGCATATTCTGTGTTATGCAAACCAACTGCTTTATGGAACCTGTTTAAAATTGAACCAATGGGCTGATTCAAAGCTGATGCCGGAGTGTATATATATAAAACAGATTATGCGAAATACACCGTACAACTCTATGTATGTACATTCATAAGTGAGAACCAAATCCTGTCTGTAGTTTACGCGAGTAGTACACATTTAAAATAAACACTTTACCGGTTTAAAACGCGATATATATTAGTTAAACTTGTTTGTTAATTATTTAAACTACGGCCTGGCGTTTCGACGAGCGCGGTTAAAATAATTACCAAACAAGTTTAACTAATATATATCGCGATTTAAACCGTTAACGTCTTTCATTTAAAAATGAGAACCAATTCTCAATTGTCACGGCCAAACAGCTAGAAAACTAAGCTCTGTGAGCTATAAAGACTGCGCTTGGAAATTATAAAAAAATTTACTTTAAGATTTTTACTTTTATGGTCGAAACCAAATGGTCATAAGTTTAATATACGTTTGAAATTGGGAACGATGAATGGTGCCAGACAGTTTTGGTATAGGAACGATAAATAAAAAAAACAAAGAGCAATAATACATCAAACAATTTTAAACACTTACGTTCCTTGCCGACACTAATATTGTAGTAGGACGTTTGGTCGCGACACACTGCGCTATGTTTCAGAGGCGATTAACGAATAATTAGGAATTCTTCCTTCATCTAACATATAAATAGTTATCATTGATAAACAATGTATGCATTCACATTATCTTATCGACGTTATTAATTGATGTGTATAAATTACCTTAAAGATAATATCCCTCAAGAGAACTAACTAGCTGCGACATCATAGACAATAGAATAGCGGAAAGTAAAATTGTGCTCACTAGATTTTTATATGTTTTTCTTATGATTAGGTTTTTTGACGTTACACCGTCACGAATGGAATAACAAAACTCCAATCTACTCGAAAGTGTCTAGCGTGTGTAAAAAATTGCAATGCTACAAATGCCAATACTTCACACATTCGATTTACATTATTTTGTGCACAAGTTTTAAATAAAACATCTTTAACGGTTTAAAACGCGATATATATTAGTTAAACTTATTTTCGTTTTTTTAATAAAAAAACACAAGCTTTTTACTTTGAGGGCAGAGAGACCCTTATCCTTATCTAATATATATAATGTTTTAAACCGTTAAAGTGTTGTTATTGTAATGTGTACTAACGCGTATTAGAAAAGCAATAATTCAATAATAAGCAATAGGATGCTAGTTTATTAAAACATTTTGATAATATTAGAACTACGTAAACATTTCATATAAATTCATTCATAGAAATATTAAACAAACAATTCATATAAAGATAATGTAATCTACTTCTTTAGCCCAAAAATACCTCCTACGACCGGAATCAAACTTGCGACCCGTGTTTAGTATACATTTCAACAATACATACTTTTTATGAAACCACTTTCAAATAAAGAATGGGTAATAAGAAAACAAAAAGCTGACTGAAGTCTTTCAAAGTTATCAGTTTTAAATAATATTTTCGATTGAGATGTTTTTATAAATTCATATCAGTTTATAATACAATTTAGTTTTTAGATTATATTTATTTTTATAGTTTTATTTTTACATCCAGATTTAAATCATGCCGGAGTAAGTATTTTTTTTAATGAAACGCTAATTTTACTCTTGAAGGCACTTAAACATTGGGTCTGCGAATTATTTTGAATACAGCTACACAATCCTCTGCGTTCGGGCTGGTGGAATCAACTCTACCTAATCATGAATCAACACCAAGCCAACGCCGGCTTCGCTGGTTTAGAATGCGTTTCGTATTTGGGATTTGTTTAGGTGCGTGCCGTGTCCTGCTGCGGCTCCCTGTGCGCCCTCTGCGGGGATCAAATCTGGCTTACGTGACGGGAAACCCATAGACGGTAAACAGGAGCAGCCGTGCCCTTGCAGGACTTGCTGCTGTGGAAAACCGCCCACTGTCAAACCAGTATGCTTTTGGATGTGCTTTTTCGTGATAGACCCATCTATACTAATATATGAAGCTGAAGAGTTTGTTTGTTTGAACGCGCTAATTTCTGGAACTACTGGTTCGAATTGAAAAAAAAAATTGTTATTTAGGGAATTTATCGAGTAAGTCGCGTCGCGCTGCGACTAATAGGGGCCAAGAAACAGTGGGAAATGTGCAACAAACGCAGCAAAAACGGTTTAAAATACCCATAATAATATTAATTAACGAATTATTCCTCTTTAAATAATCTAAATAAAATGTCCGCGACAGTGTGTGTCTATCTTTTAAGACTAACTTCCAAGAACGTCAGGACGCCGACGACGCGGGAGACAATTAACATATAACAATAAATTTATAAAGATTAAGAGTTCAATGCCCAAAAACGTTTTCTATACGCGGACGAAGTCGCTGACACAGCTGGTCGTAAAATATATATAGAGATCTAAAAGATTCAATAACGTTTCAGTGTTACAAGCAGCCGAAAATTCCGGATTCTTATGCGCCTCGTCGTTGCTACGTGAAACCTTCAGCCAAAGTGGAGGCATGTACTACCTACAAGCTCTCGTATTTGCCAGTAGACGGCTGCAAGAATTTACGAGGTGAGGCCAGAAAGCCCGCGCCGAACCTGGTACCGAGCTGTGAACCAATGGACTCTTGCACTGTCCAGAAGGTTTGTCGATTGTTACTTCTTCTACATTCAGATATTCTTCTGTATCTGTTTGGCCTGTGGCTGGAGAAGAAAAATGACTTTAATTACACATATACAGATGTTCATCCTTGTATCTACATACACAGATGAAGTCCAACATGTTTCAAAAAATGATAAATTGAAAAATTAGAAACATGTCGGATCCGATGGGGACCGAATCCATGACCCGTTGATTATCAGCCATACATTGCTACCGATAGGCTCGTCCATCTTATGTCACTTCCCATATTTGTAATAAAATTCTCGCTCTTTCTCGCTCTTCTTCACGCTCAATTATTGAAAGGAAGAAGAAGAAAGAAAGAAAGAAATTGACTACTAAGGCACATAAAAACATTTGTTAAACTTATTATTAAAACATAAAAAAAAACAAAACATTACGTTTACATATTAACAGGATAAGATAAAGTTGTAGGATGCTAGTAGAATAGGATCTTACTCAGTTTATATCAGGCCCTTTGTTCACTTGACTGATTTTCAGTAAGTCCTTAGTGTGGACAGCGGCGCCACACTCAAGTGAAAATAAACGTCGCTGTTATACAAATACAACACAGTAGACATTACAAAAAAAGTAAGATAAGTCAAGCTGCATAAAGAGAAATAAGAATTGTTCCATTCCATCTACATAATATAATGGGTTAATATCATAGGTTTCCACTGACAGCGCCACCAACGTCAGTTTTTTATAACGATAGCAAGTATTCTTTGTACTTCTTTGCTGATTAACATTTTTAGATAGGGCTCCATCGAAAGAATTCATAAGCTTCTTTAGATTAATTGACGGAGACCCACTTTCTGCAGCTGTCGTTCTTGCCAAACCCCGTATGCGTCACGCAAGCGATACGGCCGTGCCACCACGACATGTGGGGCCAGGGCCCAATGCAGAATCTCACCACACAGAGGCACGACTACGTGGCGAAGCCCTGCGTGCTTCGAGAGAGCTTCAAACCCGCTGCCAAGTTTCATTCAGTGGACCAGCCTTTTGAAAGTATAACGTGCATTTTTTTATGATAGAGGACAGACAAGCTGTCGACCTATTTTGGCTTTGGATATTCGGAAAACCACAGACTGAAAGCGAAACGGACGGTGTTTCGCGACCCGGACAGAATCTCGATATTCCCCGTCCCGTTCAATATCCAGATTTCCACACGAAGTCCTACATTTTTCAGAAAAATATGAATTGATTAGAATAATGTTGGACCCGGTGGGGATCGATCACAATGCCCGTCGAATTTCGCATAATCTCGTAGTGTAGGATTTGGTGCTACTTCAAAACGCTTATTCTCCTCTAGATCGCACTGTGAACAAACTGTCATACCTGCCCCCCGATAGAATGGAACCGGTGAAATCGTACGCTCCGGAGCGATGTTATGAGAAGCCAGCGGCCAAAATGGATTCCAGCACGACACACAAGCTCAGCTATATGCCAAATCAGGTGACATTATTATTATTCAGCAATATATATGGCCTTGCAGAATTGACGATACATGGTACATACATGTAATTTGACAAGGAAGGCGGCGAGTTTCTTGCCATTTCTTCTTGTTAGTTCTACGCCCTTGATTTGAGAAATGGTAGTAGATGTAAATTTAGAGTCTTTAGTCTTTAACTGATGTGACGGTCTTAAGTGGACCTGTGTAGTTACATTCTCTAATGACAAGGCCGCCTGGCATTGATATGTTTTGCTCCTTGGGGTAATAAATTCACAAAAATGTATTTTTCAAAAACGCTGGACTGAGATTCTTGGGTGTTCTCAGTCATGTTACTCTTTGGAACACTCTGTAGAATCACGACACAGGGACAAACAAACATTTTCTTTTTTTGACGAATCTCTACGAATATTGTTTAAAATTTTAAAGAGAATAAAGTATATTTTATTCAATGTTACCTAAGTGAATAAAAATTTGACTTTAACTTTGATATGTGCATTTGCCACAGTCAATTTATATGATAATTATTAAATGCATAGGCTTTGTTTCAAGTTGCTTCCTAAAGAACCATTGCCGTGGGCTTGCAAGGGGCAGTATCAAAGGCCATGTCAAAAGCTCGAAGACAACACGACTTACACCATGAGGTTTGTATCCAATTGCCCTAAAGAGTATTATAGCAGGGTTTTATATGTTATATGAAGTCTTTAATTTATTGTGATATGTTCTAAAACACATTACCTTCAAGCTAATGGCTTAGCTTTTATTTAAATGTGTACTGCTCGCGTAAACTATAGACAGTATTCCTGCCAGTGCGGTAAATTTTGTCAATTGATAATCGATTTTTATTTATAGAGTGCCATGCTGTACAATAAAATGTGAAAATTATTAAAGTTTTCAAATATAGCTCTTCAATAAAAGGTATGAGGTAATCAAAATTATCTTACAGTTTCCTGAACCCAGCAGCTGACTGTCGTCGATGTCCAATATTGCCCACAATTGGGACTAATCCAGTGACGGCTTCGAAGCGATTTGAGACGCAAACTGTCTACAAAAACAGGTGCTACCTAGAAGGCAGCCATTTGCAAATTGAAAACTTGTAAACATTTGCCACGTCTAGACAATTGGGGTTCGAATTCCGGGAAAACGTTATCGTTAGGCAGGCAATTACCTACCTACTTATTATACTTTAACTTACCTTGTCCGATAACAATAATGTGATCGGACAAGGTAAATATACTTTCGTTATTAGATATAAACATAAAAAACAGTAACTGCTAACATATAAAACTGTATTACAAGGTAAAAACCTTTATGAATATTTATACGTTTGTCCGCGTATCATTTACACTAATATTATAAAGCTATAGAGTTTGTTTGTTTGAACGCTTTAATCTCAGGAACTACTGGTTTTGTTTGAAAGACATACTTATGCTGGTTAGGAGCGAAGAAAGAAGAAACGCTTCAAGATGCCCAAAAATAATGCGTGAAAGAATGATTTCTTTTTAAATGATCTAAAAAATGTTCGTGATTATCTTGCAAGAACGAGGGTGAGCGACCGATGCGGTCGTTGTGGGAAACAACTTTATTTTATAATAAACAAATTTTGATGCCTACAATAACTACTGTACGCGAACGAAGTCGTTGGCACATAGTGTTATAATAAAATTGTAATGTTGGCTCGAATCACGTCAACGCTCGATTACTTTTTAATTATTGATATGCCCCCAACAGTTATCTCCCGGCGACGGCGCCTATACCCCAGCCTGTGAAGCCCGTTCCAAACCTAGTACCCTCTTCGGCTGCTATGGAGGGCGATACCGTACAAAAGGTGACTTTGAACGACGTTTACGATTTTATGTAAAAGGTGATTAGAAACAAAGATAGAATAATCGATGGAACAACAACGCACCGTTTCATGAAGTTTTTCAAAGAATAACAATGTGGCGACTCGTATTTTTAACATACTTTAGGGCATGGTATAGATCTTTTAATTAATATTTCTTCAACTTTAGTTGTCCTTCCTGCCAAACCCCGTATGCATAACGCAAGCCATACGACCATGCCACCACGACATGTGGGGTCAAGGGCCTATGCAGAATCTGACGACGCAACGGCATGACTTCGTCGCGAAGACAACCCCAATGAGAGAGTCGTTCAAACCTGCGCACAAGTTCCACTGCGTAGAACAACCGTTTGAGAGTATGTTTATTATTTAACTAGCTGTGTCAGCGACTTCGTCGTAGGTGTAGAATAGTTTTTTGGGCATTTAAACCTCTTCATCTCTAAATATATTATCCGTCACGTTGTTCGCATCTATCGTCATTGCATTTGTATATGTCTGTCTTACGATTATATGTTTCTACGACAGACATATATTGTGGCGGATATTTTTTTAGATACTTTAAAGAGGAATCATACTTGCAAACATATTTTTTTAGTATGGTATAAGGTATGGTATGGTATTGATATAACTTGAACTCAAGGACTTTTATTTATTGAGTTACTGGAATGAACTTTCAATAAAAACTCAAGAAGCTAAATAATTTTCCCCGTTTTTTCCTCCGTGATATTAACTCTTCCTCGATAAGGGCTCTATAGGCTATAAAACATCGCGTGTTGTGACTACTAGAAGCGACGATACAGCGGGAAATGTGAACAAAACTGGGGAAATTTTTCATCTCTTTGGGTTTCCCATGCGTACGCTGCGAAAAAGGCTCAAAATAGCCAAAAACTATGTATGTAAGAGAGATTTCTCTTTAAATGATCTGAAAAAATGTCCGCAACACTGTCTAATTATTTTTTTTAATTATTTTTTAACTTCCAAGAACGATGAGTCGGAGCGACGGCACGCCACCAATGTCGTGGGCAGCTTAAATTTATAAAGATGTAGAGGTTTGCAAAAATAAATTAGGACGCAAAACGAAAAAATTCTACGCGGACGAAGTCGCTGACACAGCTAGTATTTAATATGATAGTTTTTTTAATTAACGGGTTAAATTTAAATGCATATTATTATTTACGTAGGTTTATATTATTTGTGTTTATTATATTACCTGTTAATCTATGAAATTGGTTACTTATTTTAGTAATTATGAAACCAAAACGTAACTAGCAAAACTATCGCATTTGATGTAACAAGGTAGGTGTTTGTGCAAACGACTGATATTAAATCAATGTTAAATATGACAGATCGAACCGTGAACCGCATGTCATTCTTGGACCCCGGAAAAGTGCCAAGACCTGAATCGTATGCTCCTAATCGCTGCTATGAAAAACCCAGCGGTACGGTAACAACTATAAAGTTAATCATATTTCCTACGATAACCTTAGGCCATAAAATTATAGTTTATATCCATCTGTTTACGGTTCTTAAAATCGAAAGTAATATAAAAAAAATTTTCGACTCGGGCAGGACTTGAACCGGCATCGTCAGCGTTCCGTGCTGTTGCTCTACAAGAGAGCTTATTTTCGATTTTTAAATTATATAATGCCTTCATGTGCAATAACATGTAAAAATTGATAAGTTTTCAAGTACATAAATATATCAATTCCAATCATACTTTTTTTAATATGGAGGACCATTTTACCTGTGGCGCTATAGAGTGAGCAATTTATTTTAGTGCCTCGCTGTTTGCTTAGAATTTTGTTCAGAATATAACCTATGTTTTAGCCAAAATGGACAGCGACACGACTCAGAAGATGTCTTACCAGCCAGTATGCGTGCCTGCGCCGCAACGGCCGCCCTGGGCGTGCAAGGGACAATACCAGAAGCCCTGCCAAAAGGTTTTTGTTAATCCAACCTTTTTTAGTGACAGTGACAAACAAGCAAAAAAATGGCGTTCTAGATTTGATTCGGAAATCCACAGATTGAAACCGTGATTAAATTTCGCGCCTTTTTGATCTGTGGTTCGTGACTCGGACAGAATTTTGATTAAGTGATTAGAAATATGTTGGACCCGATGGGGCTCAAGCCCCCGACCCGTTGATTATTAACCGTACATTGCTTACCCTAACAACAACGATCCCGTCAAATTAGTATAGCTACGTTCTGCTCAAATAATAAAAGTTAATATTATTTTATTTTTATGATGCCTTTAGTTGGAGGGCACGACGATATATCGGTCGTCATTCCTACCCCCGGGCGAAGATTGCACAGAGTATATAGATCCTTGCTCTTATGGAGATTGCAAACGTAAGTATTTTTCATGAATGCGCAATGTAAACAATACTTTCATTTTTTTTAGTAAACATGGTTCAAATAAAACGCTAACGGATTAAAACGCGAAATATATTAGTTAAACTTATTTTAACTACAGCCCAACTTTTCGGATGCTTTGCAGAGTGATAAGTTTAAGTAATATATTTCGCGTTTTAAACCATTAGTGTTTTAATTAAATCTGTAAACTACAGACCGTAATTAAGAAACATGTTAAATTGTAAACTCAAGAATCTAATAGGTACTAATTGCGTTATACCAAGCGAATGGCCTTACGTCTCGAATTACATTTATTATAATTGGATCTATTTTCAGCTTGCGAATGCATGTGTCCAGCGGAATGCATTGCGACAGACCCCTGCGCTTGCACATTCCCAAAAGCAGAATGTTGCAGCTAGCGGCCATTTTGTGACGCATGAGTTCCAAATTCAAGGGTGAAGTTAACAAAATGGAGTCGAGCTCGAATCGTTGTTCTCGACCGATCGAAATATGATTTTGTGTCCGTGTTAACCTTTCTTGTAGTGTGCTAGTTTAGTTTTACAATTGAATTTACTCGTGTTATGGTTGATTTTAATAAATTATTTACTGTTTTTATATAGTTACATTTAATCACTAGTTGTGCCTGTATGATAAATGCTCTAATCAACATTCAAATATGTTTTCAATTAGAGTCAGTTCCTAACATTATTGCATTAAACAAACTCTAACATAGATAACTTGTGTTGTACATATATCAATGCTGTGCTTCGTTGTTGATTAATATGTTGTCATGTCATTATATCATATTATTATTTAATGGCATATCATTAAGATAAGACGCTCTCGCAGAACCAATATCCTTCGACAAACGGTATCGTCAAGCCAACAATCTGTCAATTAATAGTTTTGATTACATTATCGTATCCTGGGTTTGTAATGTATGTTGACTTTAACGGCTTCAAATGTAATATATTTTGGTATAGCTTAGGTTAGGTTAGCGAAATAACGGCACACTATTTACACTTTACACTTATATTCCAGAGTAACTTCTTATCAAATACAGGACAGAATACCAGAACACAATCAACATAACATATTATGTTAGTCTGACAAATACTGCCACATATCGTAATAATTTCATCGGAAACTAAGTGGCTGGTTATTTGGATTATCAAAACAATTAGAAATAAAATACATACTGTTTTAAATAATTCAAGATATAAACTCAATTCTTTAACTAACGTTAATTACTTAAATAAATATAATATTTAGTTACAGTCTAATTCATTAAAATGACGTGGAAACGGAAACAGTTACTGCCTATTTATTTTAATAATAAAGGAACCGGATGTATAACTATTTGGTATTTGTGGAGTAGCCAGGGTGGCGGGTCGAGGAAACGGAAGTAATCGCTAACAATTTACAAACAATTAGTCCACGTATCCATATGTATTCTTGAACGAAATTGTAATATTAACATAACAGTTACCTGAGATGTTGAAATTGAACAAAAACTTTTAAGAAAAAAATATATATTTATTGTTGTTATTTTGGTGTAATTGTAGCAATTTATGGCTAATAGCAAATCGTGTGTTCGATCCCATCACGTCTATAATTTTTCTAACTTTGGAAATCTGGATAATTCGCCATCCGGGTCACGAACCAAGTCTGAAAAGTTTCATCTCACATCGGTGCCAAAATAGGTCGACGGCGCATTATGTTAGGACAACCCCATGCGTGTCCTATATCATAAAAACAATCATGTTTATATGATTTCATCTACGTGAATCAAGGGACAGTGTAAAAAGTAACAATAAAATGGCATATGAAATGAACAAATGTTTATTTAAGCCGTTGCAGTACAGTGGTGTTCAGTAGATTGGCTGTAGCGAGAGTGGCGGAGCGATCAGATAGCTCAGCGCTGGGGAATGTGGTGAGGAGCACGAAGGGTTGGATCTGGTAGCTGGGTTCAGCCCTCGACACGTACTGGTACAGGTCTTCCACTGTGTGCGAGTGGTTGAAACGACCGGTCAGCCGGCTGCCGTCTGCTAGGCGGAACTGTAGGACAATTTCACTAGTTATACATACGCTAATAGGATGGTTCATAATACCACCAGGATCAAGATCTCTAGTACAATTATACATTTTCTGAAACATTAAGACTTCTGCTTAAAATAACGCATGGAAATCATGACTACCACAATAGGATAGTCGTCAGATGGGATATCTGATATATACTATTAGTTAGTAACCAACTAATAAACTATGTTTCTCTTTTACATTCGGAAATATAATAAAAAATACAATAGAGTCGTAGGAAGTACAATCGAGTTTCGTCCGCGATACGTAACACCATCTACAATAAAAAATCCGTAAAGATGCAAATCTGCATTTTGGCTTTAGTTTGTAGATTTCCAGCGCAATTTGTTTAATCCAAAAACGTGTACAAAGAACAATAATAAATATTTTTTGCTAACTTACCTGTACTGTAGTGACGGGATTGCTTTCATCCAGTGCGACCGACTCCTGCGCAGATCGTTGATTCGCGTCGCGGTCGCCGGGCTGGGAGGCGACGGGCACCGTGGCTCCCACTGTGGCAGGCGTCGGGCTGAAACAATATCATTATCAGAATCATCTCACGAACGTGCAAGTTTGTGACGAGACAGACAGGCAAAAATTTAGTCAGATTATAAAAAAGGATAAGACACCGGGCATGCATGCATATAGCACGAGTGCACTATGTTCTTAGCATATGGATGTCGGGCCATAATAAAAATGATTTCAAATGAGTTTGATTAATATATATATCGCGTTTTAAATGATACAACAAACAGTAGAAATGTATCGATATTCAATGAAATTTCAAGTGTGTGGCTTACCTGCCCAACATATGCCCTTTCCCGGCGAAGGCCTGTGTCTTGGATACAGGCCGGGGACACTCCTCGTGTCTTCGATCCTCAAGGCTGACCCTCACTTCACCGCCTCCAGACAATTCTGGTGGAATTTCACTGAAACGTAAAGATTACTATTATATATTAGTATGGATTGCTTTAGTTGTAAAACAGTACAATACAAATAATAAACGGTGGCATGGGGTTAATTCATTGACTTAGATCTGGTTCACGAATGGTCCTGAGTTCGAAAATTGAAAGTGAAAATGTGCTCGCCCAACCCCTGGAGTTTCTGCTTCGTTTCTTCATGGAAGCGGTATTTCACTTAGTATAAATTCATACTACTGTCAAAAGTGTGTTACCCTCTACGAATACAGCTGAGAAACTCGGCGTTCGCCGGATCAGTGAATTGCCTGAGAGGGCCATCGTTCACAGTGAACCCCTCTCGGTACAGCCTCAGCCGGACTGAGCGAGTCTGCTCCTGCGAATATATGAAAAGGGGAAAGTAAATGTAGGATAAAGCTTCGTTACACGATTATATTTGTGTAATAAAATATTTAGTTGTATTGATGTTCGTAAGTAAAAAACTTTAGTCTATAGCTACTGATGCATACGAAGAATTGGGTCAGAGCTAAAAATCTATTAACTTCGATATTTCGCGTTTAAAACCGTTACAAGAAATACAGAAAAAAAACCTAGAATTTGGATGAAATATAATAGATTTTTTATAAACGTCAAAACAACAAATAATCGTATGGTTGTAAATAAAATAAACAGATCTGATACATATATGTACATATCAATTTTATATATAACTAGCTGTGTTAGCGATTATTTTGGGCATCCAAATTAGTGTTTGCAAACCTCTGCATCTTTATAAATTTAAGCTACCCGACACGACAGCGGTCCCGTCCCGTCGTTCTTGCAAGTTAATCTTAAAAGATAGACATATAGAGTAGTGGACATTTTTTTAGATCATTTAAAGAGGAATCATTCTTTCAGAGATATTTTTTGGGTGTCTTGAACAGTTTTAGCCGCGCTAGCATCAGAAACCCACAGAGATGTAAAATTCCCCACATTTTGTTCACATTTCCCGCTGTATTTTCGCTTCTATTAGTCACAACGGCATGTTTTGTACTCTATAGCCTTTCTCGATCAATACAAGAATTTTTCAACTAGAACCCGTAGTTCCTGAGATTAGTGCGTTCAAACAAACAAACAAACTCTTCAGCTTTATATATTAGTATAGATATTTAAGTAGAAAATCTTACTGCTTGTGCTGCTTTTGCTGGTGTGACTTGTTCGTGGTCATCTGCAGTTTGGCCTGTAAAGATATTAGTTGATAAAACAGGCCAAAGACAAAGAGACTAAAACTTAATGAATAAACAAACTTCTTCCATTGCGAGTCCTAACCTTGTTGGACCTCTCCCATTAAAATAAATTAGTGAAAGTCTGATGATTTGCCCAAAAGAAAATCAATCCAAACAGACTTATTAGTAGCATTAAGTTTTGTCACTATATAAATGTGTGTATTATATACAGACATTTTATCATTATCATCTTACCAAGTCTGTATCCAGCACCAGCGAAGACACCACCCCGACCGCGACTTGTCGACGTCGGCTCATCATCAAACACCACTGCACCGCGTCTGAATATCGCATAGAAAGAATAATCCACCAAGTGCTACACATAGGTTGCTACAACAACCTTAAAATCAAAAATAGCATTTACTAATACATCATAAAACTAAAGACTGCTTGAGCCCCTTATTGATTTATAGTGAATGAGATAATCAGAAGTTTTGGGGTTATCAATTAAGATAGACGAAAGCAGAAAACTTAAGAAGATTCATCAAATAAAGTAGTTATCACAACTCACTCTCTAACGCTTTTGAACATTTCTGAGACGATATCCTTACGTCCTTTCCCAGGGCCAAGGATCTGCTGTCCCGACCTTTCAGAGCCACCAGCATAGAACGCCTGTCCTGAAACAGGAGAGAAATTGAAATTATTCCCTCTGCAATAAATAACAACATTTATGAATAACTAAGAAACCATAGAAGTGTGAATTTTAATAATTACAGCACTTTAAAACAATTGTTTCTATTTGATGATAAAAAAGAAAAAAATTTTTTTTTTTCTTAAGAGAACGATAGACTAGAAAATTCTAATGCCTAAAAGAACATTTTTAACTCTTACAAGGCTTTTCATATATTTTAATTGCAGTGTTTAACCCTTCATTATTTACAACCCTTAGATGGAAAAATACACAACTTTAAAAAAATCAACTATTATATTGTCCTTATTAATGGATGGTAATACAGACAACATCCACAGACCTTCATCTGGGCCAAGTCTCAATCTTGATATTTCATGTCTCAATTCATCATTCTCTCTTTTTAATGTCTCAATTTCTTCTTTTAACCCTTTAATCTCATTTTGTAACTCTTCTACAACAGTCTCTTTGGCTTTTTTTGTACATGTTGCATCTTGGCAAAATAAATTTTGGACTATAGCTTCAATTTTATGAGACCAGCCAGTCTGTATGACTATTGTCAAATATTTAGGTTTTATGACTAAACCTACACATTTATAAGTATGAATTGAAGGTTAACAGATACCCCAGCTCAGTATCTCAACAAAATAGATTCACATATATCTCCCATGACCCTCACGAAAGTACATTAAAATAGTTTGAAAGGCTGGTGATTTTGCTGTGTTTGTTGGACTTAATTGTTATAAAATATCACATTTAACATACATCACATAGGGTCACCAAAACTCATGACATAAAATTCAAACAGAGCAGATAAGCATTAAGAAATGTTATTGATATAAATGTATTTATACCTTCGTCTTCTTCACTAGAGCTATCTTGTTGCAGTGTATCCAACGTAGCAAACTTAGTGTTTGACTTTTTCTTTTTGTCTTTTTTCTGCGATTTTTCTGGAGAGCCAGGCGGCGAGTCCATATCACTCTCTGACATAGGCTGAGGTGATGCAGATACAGGCTCTGGATTTGGAACATCTTCTACATTTCCACCATGTTCATAGAAGCTTGACAGTGCAACCTAGGGTTGAAGAAGAAGAATATTAAATCAACCACTATAATTTGCATAAAAGTAGGTTGAGATTACTTTAAATCTTAAAAACAAAAATGATTAACCACTATACACAAATACATTTTTTTTAACAATTAGAATTTTTAATGTAAAGCTGCTGTTGGAAGACATTAAGTACATTTAATATTTGTAAGGAGACATTCGAGTATCAATTTAATGTGTGTATTTATTACCTCCAATTGCCAGTTTGAAGATTCCAAGAAAAATTTACTACGATTTTCGTCAGCCCCTGTAACATCACAGAATTGCCGCAAAGTTTCTTCTCTATTCGCCATGGCTAATTAATTATTGAGTTTGAGATAGAATTAAGAGATCTATAAAACTGAAAAATATTTTCTTAAACTATCCAAATTAAAAAACCGCTTCGCTACTTATCAAAATCAAATCAACGCAAGTCATTATTTGCCGCAGCAGTCGGCCATTGACATTCTATGTACGAGCGAATGTACTGTCAAAATGCATGACTTTGACTGCTGCTCAATCGATAGTTAATCGAACTATATAAAATCAGCCTGAAATTAATTACAAACAAAAATTTTTTAAATGCTAATAATTAATATTTAGTTGATTATATTTAAGCATTTTATTCATGACATATAGATTATGACTATTTTAATTTTCCAAGAACTTATAGAATATACAATTAAATATGTGTTTTTATAGCTTTCGATTATTTACGATGCCAGTATCGGAATGTGTGTACGATATAAAAACTTGACAAATGTAAGATAACCATAATAAGCCAGCTGATTGTTTGACGTTATGGAACTTTTAATCATCTGCTATGGGCTAAACCTATTAATGCATTTTGCTTGCACTTTTTCTCTTTTGAAAAATAAGGCAGGCTTTTTAAGTACTATTTAATAAAAAGTAAGCAGTGTCGTGTTCCCATCATAATGTAAAGAACTTCTACTTAATGAATGTCCTTTAATGAAATGAAGACTCATCGGAAATCGTCAGTCGGCATCATGAGGAAATATTATCAATTAATACTAATCATAGTATGTTTTTTGAGTATTGTGACTCTTCTTATGTATAGACATGAATATTACAAGCTGCGCTATGTACTCGAAGTGTTAAATATCTTTGGAAAACCCGGTCTGTCAGAGATAGAATTTTGCGGCCCCGGTTTTAATGCGACTATGCTTTCCGAAATTTTAAGAAACTCATCTTTAGAAGTGAAGGAAACCCCACCGTTATTTCAGGAAATCGATGAAAACTTCTACTCTTATTCATGTTTCCTACGATCCTATCAGAAATATGAACAACTGTCTCCACAACATGCACATATTATAGACACTATTGTGATTGGTAAAGCGCACGTTACACCAAATTTTCGTTGCTATATTTGGTTTGAAAATGATTTAAAACCAAAATCAGGAAGATTTAACTACAAAATTTTGTCTGAACCCATGAATAATTTCCGACTGTATGTGTTTGAATGTTCTATGAACAAAAACTTCGGTAAACCAAAGGGAGTGAGTTTCTTTATCAATGATTATAATGTGAATCCTATTCATGCACCTATCAATCGCTTGATCCAGGTTAACACTAAAAGAAAGGTGAGGCAGAGGAGTAATATAAGATTTGTGAATACAATTGTTCCAGCTGTATGTGTTATTCCAAATCAAATTCCAATTGTATCAAGGGATGCTTTTATAGAGTTTCTAGTATTCCATCATTTAGTTGGTGTTGATTATTTCACTATATATGACAGTATGATATCAGAGGATGTAATAAGGCGACTGAATTTATTCCCTCCAGACATTACCCAGTGGAGTATACAATTCTATCCACTAAATTATCCATTCATATTCTCAAAATCATACGAAATTGTAAGAAAAGCTATAGAATTAGATTGCATTTTCCGTCATTTTAGATATGATAAGGAAGAATCAAACAAAGTAAGTCACCTTGCTGTTTTGGCCTGGGATGAATTTTTAGTACCTAGAATACATACCACTGTTCAGGCTCTTCTAAGAGATTACGATCCGATGATGACAATACAAACATCAACTGTAGACAGCTTTCTCTTCTGTTTGAACCAAAATGATGATGATAATGCAGATATTAGATACCCAGATATCATGAAGAAAACACATTACTATAATGTTCCACATGTAAAAGTACCGATTATGATCAGAAACTTGGACACAATGATAGCATTTGATGATATATTCAACTTAACCGCAAATGCAAAGAGTATTTCAACGGATATGTTGGGAGTGCATAAGTATACAGTGTGCAGTGATCCGAAAAAGTTTAATTTGAATGGCTACAACGAGACCGAAATGCAAGTATTCCAGCATAAGTTTGAAGGCGCTATGTTAAAGTTTGGAGATAGAATTGTCAGTGATAAAATCTATAGGTTGTATAGATCAGGACAAATATGGGAAAAGAATAGCAATGAAAATGTACGAGATATGTTGTAAATTTTTGTGATTTATTTGTGCCTGAAGTGATTCACAAAGCTGGACATGTCTTTTTTCAGTTCTGTGCAAAAAATACGTAATTGATAGTAGAACCAAAAGGTTTGCAATGATTTTAAATCTAGCTACTTATTTGTAATAGTTTTGAAATAGAAATTTGTTTAACAATTTAATTATTACTTATACTAATAAGTTATTAGTCACACCATGGATCCATTTCTTAAATGTAATATATGTCATTAATTTTCAATTATTATTAAGGGCATAAACTGTGTTCGTAGTAACTATTACTATTTTGGAGAAAATGTATCTGTATATCTATTACGATCTCGTAACAATACAGTGAAAAGTAAAATACAACATTTGAAATTTTAGAACTCATAAATTTTCTTACTTTTATAATATGTACTTATAGTGCAATACTCTCGCTAAGTAAATAAGTGTAAGTTAGTTTAGTATAGCTACTTGGGTTTTCCAACGGTTCGGCCGTCGTAAATTAGGAAATGGCGAAAGTGGACGAACAGCTTGAAAACTTTACAAAAGCCTTATACAATTCGTAATTTTGTATGTTATCTAATACTGCTAACGTTTATCCAATATTAGTACTATGTTGTTTATTATTTTGGGTGGCACGAAATTGATGGGATTTATTATTTGCTTTGGTGCAACGACCCAAACTGAATGATCAGTTGATTTTTCTTACAGATAAATAAATATTATTCACCTAGGCTTGAAGCATTTATCTTAAATTCTGATATTGTTCTTCCGTAACTCAACTTTCGTACCAGAGACCTGCTTATAAGTGGGTTTAAGTCTGACTGTTCCAATACGAACCCAGATATAGGTAATCGTATTAGTTATGTGCCTTTTATTAAGTAGTTATTAGAAATGACTAAGTCGAGACCTAGCTGAATCTATCCATCTATTATCTGTAGTTTACAAGCAAATAGTACACATTTTGATTCAACAATTCAACGGTTTAAAATGTAATATGTATAAATATTTATCTTTTCCTACGACCCGGCGTCGTATGAAAGTAATTACAACTAATGTCTATTTTATTTGCTTAATTAAAAAGCACTATATGAATAATAACTAACATATATAATCAAATTTCCTGCAACTAGAGCAAACATCCGAAACAAATGTGGCTAGTAGAATTGTACAGCAATCTTAGGCGGTTGACCCTTGTCTGAATCCCTACACAGTATATGTTTGTGCAGACTGACACATTGCCTTTTGCTAACCAATCGATTACTGATAAAAACCATTTAACATAATATTGGGTGTCAACTTGCCTATACCATAAGACTGCTCAGACCAGACCATTGTATTTAGCTGTTAAGTGGTGATTTGGTATCCTACAGAAGATGTAAAATACAGATAGACTTACAAACTTGCAAGTAGAATTTACCAAATCTCCAACATCTCGAACGTATTCTATACCTATCGTATCTAGTCTTAACAACACGAGAATTGTTGCCGATATGTTGTATTGTGGCTACGAAGTATTATCACAATAAACACGTTTTCTTGTTCGTGTCTTATTGCCTTTTTATTTAAAGGGTTATATACGAAAATAAGGTTTTTTTAAGTGAATATCCGTTTTTGGTTTGGTTTTTGAATAGATTTGCCTAGACGGTGTTGTCTATTAATAATTAGGTAATATTTTTATTATTTCATTTTGAGTTGGTTGCAGAGGATTTAAACAAAAAATTTAAATGTAATTTAAATAAAGAGGACTTAAAAAAAAACTAGCCATTAAGTCTTGAAAAATAATCGAACAAGGAATGTTTAAGTAATCTTAATTACAAATTATTTTAACTAGGGCCCGACGTTACGGATGTTTGACTATATTTTTACTAAAGAAGAATAACTGCTACTCAATAGAAGAGATTAGGTATATAGAAATGGGACAACACATTTAAATAAAACCAATTCGTAACTCTAAGTAAATGTTTATTTCCTTCTAATCTAAATACACGGGCCATCGCCCAGACAGATCGAAAGTAAGAAATCGATACGGCAAACAAATTAACACAAATAGTAATATCAATCAATTTATAAGGAGTAAGTGAGCAATATTGAGCAATACAAGACAGTACTGTCGTTGCCACAGATACAAAATAAATTTTGGAGGGAATACGTAGTAGGGCCGAAACTATACTCGTTTAAAGCTTACATATCCGTTAAATATTGCCACGAAACTTAAATACTTATACTAAGTAACGTCTCACTAGGGTTCGCTGTCCGTCCAGGTGGACCGATGTCGTACTTCGTACACGGACGAGACACGAGCCACGCCTCAATGGACAGTGCTAATATAAATTAACCTAAATTAGCTGTCGCTGACAAAATACTGTGATATAGTGAAGAAAATTATTTGACTATCATCTTAGACATACATACGTAAAACTAAACGTCTAAAAGTTAATCGCGAAATAAAAACGTAGATAGGAAATGCCTTTGTACTGTCCTAGGTCAGCTGTCTTACGAAATTATAATATGCTTCAATTATCACAAGCGTACAGACAAGCTTTGAATGACTTATTATCCATTTCTGTTTATAGTTCACCGTTTGAAAGAGACAGATACATACGACTTTAAATCTAACGCATAGAAAGCTCGCTGCGTAACAAACGAATAAATGCACAAAACATGTGTTGCCATGTTGACAGAAATTTGCGTTCAATATAATTATAATTCGACAAAAATATTTAATACTATATATTTATTTCCGACTCGTGTCGGAGAATTAAATTTTATTTATTGTCATGATGTAAACATTCGACGATCACAAAGTGTGTTAAGTATTGCGTGTGATTGCTCCGAAATAGATAACTAGGTGATTATTATTCAAAATATATCTAATATTCAAACATCAACATTCATATATATACAGAGAAAGTCAATAGTTCAAAATATCACCTCTTCGAAAGACTAAAATAGTAAAAAGGATTACAGTAAATGCACGAAAAATAGTTAAGTAGTCTTGTAACAATCATAGTCTAAGTGAGCTAAAGCCTCGTGCGCTTGCAACCTTTCAGTTTTGAGTTCATATTTGAGTAATATCTGTAGTTCATTTGAAAAGTTCACGTTATTACTTCATTCCCGACAAACTTAAATATAAGGAAAGCTTTTTTATCCAAAAGATCAAAGATTGTCTAATGAAACTATGTTTTATACCATGATTTATATACGATGGTATATATACTGACTGTTATATTTAAGTTATTGCTACATACCATATAAGTCTCTGTAAGGATGCGCGCACACGAGTCACAATAAATGCGCAAGACTAGCAATTGTATGTTACATACAATATCGCCTTAAGGCTCGATTTTACATACAGTCTGGTCCGTCAGTCGCAAAACACTGCAATTGCCACTCTTAATAAGGATTATTCAAAACTCCGAGTAACATTTGTTTAAGTATTTACAAAGGAGGACACGCAAATATGTAGTTTAAATGTTAGATTGTACGAACTATCGCACGTTCAATTGTTTGAACTCTTATCGTTACATCTTTCCTCTTCTTTCGGTGGAAAACATCACAATTGTATGAAAACATCGCAGTGCCTCAAACCCCATATTTGCGTGTGTAGTGTAACATCATTTTATATTTTCATCGTTTAAACCAGTTAAATAATTTTTACGAATATACTACGTTAAGATAACAACTATCGATATATATTCTGAAATACTTATCAACATGATTGTAATATAGGTATATGCAACTTTGATGAATCCGCCTGCATCATTCGAAACATAATTTGTTAGGAATATGTAATCAAAATGCAAGAGGCCTTGTTAAGCTATTTTTCATGGTTTTCTTCTACCGACAATTTAAATAGAACGCACAGTAGATAAACTCCTTTAATCTTAGTAGCAATAATAGTTATTGTAAATAGTGTTTGTATCTGCATAAATGTGTTTTTATATTAATAGTTCGTGCTTAATCTGGAAAAACATCAGTGTTTTGAAGAGATAGGAATCTTGAGGTTATATAAACAGTAGATACAACCAGTAAATAAAAAAAATTGTTAAAGAACTGTGTCGACTGAAACGCAATTTATAAGTGTTTAAATATGTATAATTTGTGAATAAATATTCTTAACCTCAAGATCAATGTCTTCTTAGATATATTTATTGTGACTTAGAAAAATCTTATCAAGATAAAATGATAAGAATATTTTGTAGAAATCACAAAGTCTTAATGACATTAGAATTTGAATGCGCCGGAGTGCCATAATTCGGTTAAAGATATACTTAACAATTATCTAATTGCTAATCTACATGAAACCTTTATTCAACAATTATTTCTATATATTTACACGAATCCCAATAACGTCAATTTGAGACACATTATTGTGTTCTTGCTAAAGATGTCCAATGAGAGTTTATTTAGCAAATTAATAAACATGCTAAATGATAATGCAAAACAAACCTTAAGTTAACCATGGTAGGATACATTTTGTCTGTCAGTGTTTTTATATGGCGGGGTTGGGGGAGGGGTTCAATTGTGTGCTCTATAAACTCTCATTTTCAAATCCAGTTTTAACAATTAGAGAAATACTCTTAAGTCATTTCTAGAATATAAAGTCAACTCCATGTGTTTTAATTTATTATACGCTGTCTTAATTGGAATATCAAACCACTATCATCTAGAAGTTAGTTGCCGTCATTACTATAAAAATAAAATATAAGGGAACATCTGGGAATGTTATTGTTAGCTGCGTGTATAACTTTATACATGATAAATATTAAAAAGCGAACAAAATCGATCAGTGTTCTGTCTCGTTTCTACTAATACTGATTTCACTTTGTTAGAGCGGGACAGAACTTGCTACAATTGTCCATAATGTTACGAGAGTCTAACTATTATGATAAATTCATTATTGGTTCGCATCGATCTGATTGGTTATTTGATTTATTAACAATGTACTTTTGAAATCGTAAATAAGGAATATATCCTAAACCCTCCTTATCAATAACCGTCTCATA